CCGAAAGCAACTACAAAACGAGTTGGAAAAGGCTAAACAAGCAGGTTCTAGCGATGTGCTCATGGGGGACGAAGATAGCGATGCCGAGAGTGATGATGATAGCGACGAGAAAATGGCGGTCGGAAAAGTTAGCGAATGCCGGCGTAAACTTCGATCTATGCTCGATATCCACCACAGAGCCGTTTTCTTCATCGCTAGCGGCTATTTCCAGATAAAGTCAGACGAGAAGAAGACAGTTCCTAATTCGGAGGAATTCAAACTGCTGGAGGAGAAGGAGATCTCCGGGTACGATGCAGCGAAGAACATTCGGAAAGAGATTCTACGTGAGGCGCGGACCAAAGCTTTATCCTGCATTACTAGGATTCGAGAAAAGGCGTCGTCGCAATCGTTCGCTGAGGTTCCCGAAATCGAACTGCCTCCGTTTCAGGGCCTAGAGAGTAGGCGAGTATCAGATAACTTCAAGGTGCTCGCCAAGGCTCTCGATGAACAGGCAGATTTGATCGACGAGTGGCGGGAAACCGTTATTCAAATGTTGATCCGGCCACTTGTAGACGAAGAGGAAGAAGCAGAGATCACGGGTGATGAATACGAGGACTCAACCAAAATCCAGGATGAGCTGATGGTATATACGCTAGTTTTGAGAGCTGTAATAGCCGACAGACGGGATGCGATGTCCGGCCTGGAGAATGAGCGAGTTAAATACGATACTCGCTTCGCAGAGCGGCAAGCTAAAGCTGGAGAAGGCCATGCCCCCGAAAAAGTTCTCGTCTTACTTCAACAACGCGATAGAATCAAGCAGTATTATCAAGGAACCTCGTTCCGAGGCATCGTTACAGATCTTCGAGAGTTGGCAACGAAACTCCGCTATGATATCGGCAACGGAAGCAGTCGTGCGAGGGTCGAGCTGGACATCGTCGAAAGGCATCTGAAGCTGACGCAAGAGCAAAGCAACGCACAGAATAAAGCGGCGGCAGCTTTAGAGCGAGAGTTGGACACTTTTATCGCGGCGATGAATGCGCGCGTGGAATATTACAGGCAGCTGCAGGGCATTTCTGATAATGTTGCTCCGCTTGACGAAAGCCAATTCCTAGACTTGGATGAGCCGCAATATGAGGTGCAAGAGAGAGAGCATGAGATGAAAGAGCGAGAGAAGGCCTCAAAGAATAAATTTACCGCAGCGCTGCCTAAGCATCGTTACCGTAAGATCCCCTCGAATTAGGATATACCGACTCTATTTATATTTATACTGACTTAATTCACAGTCGTCCACCTCAGAGAAGCAGGTCAGAATTCAGAAGAAGTCTGTGTCATCTGCCAGTGTACTTTCACTCTAGGAGTGCTTACTGTCTGCGGGCATCACTTCTGCAAAGAGTGTATCATGGCTTGGTTGAAGAAAGCCCACATTTGTCCCGTCTGCAAGATGAAACTTTCGTCATCAAATCTTCACGATATTACGCTGAAAAAGCAAGAGTTGAAATTCCACCAAGAACACCCGCAAGAGAGCTCGCAAGCATCAGACGAGGCCAGCGCGCTTACCAGGTTCAAGAAGTTGGGTATCTATTCCGAATTCAGCAGCGATAAACTCGACGCCATCAAGACTATCAATCTCAACGGCCCTTCATTCGCTACTAAGATCGATACTCTAGCGAAGCATCTTCTATGGCTACGTGTTGAAGACCCAGGCGCCAAGTCTGTTATCTTCTCTCAGTTCGGCGAGTTCCTCGAGATCCTCGGCCGAGCTTTCGACCAATACCAAATTGGACATTCTTCTTTCAAGCAGAAGAACGGTATCAATACGTTCAAGGAAGACCCCGCTATCGAATGCTTCCTCATGGATGCCAGAGCGCACGCTAGCGGCCTCAACCTCGTCAACGCAAGTCACGTATTCCTATGCGAGCCCCTCCTCAACACGGCATTGGAACTCCAGGCGATCGCCCGAGTGGACCGGATCGGGCAGGAGCACGAGACGACGGTATGGCTATACCTAATAGACGGCACGGTCGAGGAATCCATCTATAACCTTTCTGTCCAGCGCCGTCTGGAACAGCTCGGCCAGAGCACCAAGGGAAAGGAGAAAGAGCAAGAGTCTAGCGCGGAGGTCTCGGACCTCAATCTCGAGGCGGCGAACTCCCTGGAGCTCCAACAGGCCGCCCTATCGAAGCTCATGAGCAAGGATCAGAGCATGGGCGAGGTCGTCGATCAAAACGACCTCTGGCAGTGCCTGTTCGGCCATGTTATCAGGAACGAGGCAGCTGCCGACGAGCGGATGAACGATCCTGCAGTCATTGGTTTTCTTGCTGGTGCGGCGGCAGAGGCTAGACGACAGCAGGGCTAGGTAACGGTTTTGATTCGGTGTGTAAATACGTGCGTCCCTGACCCTGCGATTACCCCTGGTACTTGACGATGTATAAAATAAGCACTTAATCACGCCTGTATGTACGACACGATACGATACGATACGATATGTAAGTTTAGTTCACGAGAGTGTCTTGGAACTCACGGCACAGTACGAGCAGGGCGTTACGGATTGCATTGCATGCTGAGGCGCGCTGTCTGTTTGCTAGGTTAGGTTAGGTTATGTTATGTTATGTCACGATAATACGATGCTACGATGTCTGCGCTCGTAATTAATTAGCTAATTGATCAATCAATCAATCAATTAAGGAAGCAAGCAAGCATATTGCCCAGACCCGTTTCTTCACGATATGGAGCTTAGTGGTATTGGCGATATTTCAGCTTCGGCTAATCTGTTTCTTCTCTGCGAATCGTGGGTTGGTAAGGGATACTTGGGTTATCCACTAGTAGTTGGTGCTGTGGTTCGTAGGTAAGGCGTATTTTATAAAGGCTACCCAAGGTAGGGATGCTACATATGTATACTGCATATGTAAGGAGACGGAATGAATGGTTGTAGTAGGTAAAGTAAAGTAAAGTAAAGTAAAGTAAACTAACTCCAGAGCTGAAAAATGTAGAAGTAGAAATAGAAGGAGAGGGGAAGGGAAAGGAAAGGGAAGAAGAGCTGAAGCCGAACCCTTGCCCTCTTGGCTACCGTAGCTTTCAAGCTTTTCTCCCCCTCCCCTCCCCTCCCCCTTCCTTGAAGCCACCCGCGCGTCCGGCTGACGGGCGGCTTACAAGGAGAGGAGGATTAAGCTTAACTTTAAATCGCGTGCTTGGCGGTAGTATCTCGGTAGGTTTTAGGTTTTCAGCTTGTCGATCTGATCTACCTGTGGGGGAGGGGAAGGGTAGGGGAAGGGGGAAGACTTGGCCCACGCGAGAGGAGGGATACATACCTATACCCGAGACATGTTGTTTTGGGGCGGCGGGTGAGTAGTGTCTGAGATGTGATGTGATGTGATGTGATGTGATGTTGTAGATGTGGTGGAGAATGAGATGGAGATAAGGGTAAGCGAGCGCGAGACAGGCGTGGTGAGGGGTGTGTATTGATGGATGGATGGATGGATAGCTGATACTACTATGCACAGGTATGTATGTATGTATGTATGTATTAAGCTATGAGTTTATAGTTTGTATTGTGTGTAATTCCTGTGTACCTACTTAGACACTTACACATTCCTACCTACTATATCAAGTAGGCAACTAGTTATAGTTAATATAAATTAAGTATGTATGTACATGTATGTATGTATGTGTGTATGGCTACCAGGTATATAAACTGCATGTAACCACATTCTCCCCCATCAAAGTCCCAAGCTGACGATTACCTACGACCTTTAACAACCAACCAACCAACCAACCAGCCAACAACCCCTGAGACGCAACCCGTCTTTTTCAGCTCCGGCCGGCTTAGCCTAGCCTAGCCCCCCCCCCCCCCCCCCGTCGAACCGATTAATTTACGACCGCGTGGGCGGCATGTCGTGCGCGCGCGCCTATTAGAGGTGCTGAAGGGGGAGGGGGAGGGGGCGTCCGTTGCGCACGTGGGATTGCGTTCTAGAAGCCTTCCTTCCTTCTGTTGTTGGGTCGGACCTGGATCCTTGGTGTATCTATCTATCTATCTATCTACCTAAAGCAACGGAGGGTTTTGCTTTTCTCTCTTTATGTTATACCTAGATATATACCTATATATATATGTATGTGTGTGTAAGACATATATACATACCTGCATTAGATTAGGTACATACCTACACATGGCTATCCGGCCGCTCTTCCGGTATTCCCCAATATCCCGGCCGGGCCAGCCAGCCGATGACAGAATCCTCTTGCGTACTGTACTGTACTGTACTGTAGATGCAGAGGTAGTAGTTTCAAGGTTCCTCGCGTGGGTTTTCGCTGTGCCGCTGTGCGACATCCGCAGCGGCACGTACATACGTAAATGGGGATAGGCACTTACCTAGTAACTAAGCTACCTATGTTAGGTAGTTGGTTGGCAGATCTAGCTGGATCGAGATAGTCTATTATGACGGTATGTCTTAGGATGGATGTCTTGGGCTTGACCGTGGTTATCGTGTCGTACATAGGTACACTGTAAGTCTAAGTCTAAGTATAGGTAAGTTAGGTAGCTAACTCGTTCGACGGCTAGAGGAAGCGGTTACACTTGATGTAGACCTTGCCTTGTCTCACTTCTTTCCTTTTTTTCTCGCCGTACCGGTAGAATTACATTAGGTAGGTAGTTTAAACACATAGGTTAGGTGGTTAAGTAAATAGTAATATTGTATAATCCAGATATTAAAATGAATAAATAGGTATCTATTCGCAGCATGACAATGACTAACTCGATAATGATAATAATAATAACAATATAATATAATACAATGCAATGTAACATCAAAACGGGGTATTTTAAACAGAAGGGCTGGTAGTATATAATAGTAGTACACGATGAGTTAGTTAGTCGTGGCGGAAGAAAAAAGCAAAGCAAAGCAGAAGAAATCATTGCGGCAACGCTGTCTAACAAATCCTCCCCCGTCAGTTTTTATCTTAAAAAAAAAGAGTCATTACCATCCATTTGTACTCCGACCAACATAATCCAGAATCCAGAATCCAGAATCCGTCCAAGATCTCCGCCGCCGAGGCAGAGCAAATAGCAAGACAGAGAAGGGGGGGTTGGCAGCCTATTCTCAGCCCCCCTTGTGTCACACCCCTTTCTCGCCTCCGTGCCTAAGTCCGGTGATGATGGTGTTGGTGACTATATCCGCTATTTGGATCGAAGTCGTAGTAATACGGCGGCAGATCTTGATATGCGAAATCGTCGCCTCCGCTGCTATTTGTCCTGCTCTCGTAGTTAACCGTCTGATATTGTTGGTACGGGCTCGACACCGCGTAGTACTGCGCCGCGTCGTCTTGCCTCGTGTCGTTGGTATAGTTGTTATTATCGCCTTCGCCGTCCCCGTCGCCGCTGCCTCCGCTACGTCTGCTCTCCGTCTCGTAGCCCCTCGCTAGAACATGCGTCATACTGAGGCTCCCCCAAGGCAGGCCTGAGAGGTCCATGCCGTCGTCTGCTGCGATTTCGTCCGACGAAGGGAGGCGATAGCTGCTGGCTGCGTTTTCTAAGTCGCGCGACTCCCGTTCTGCCTTTTCTTTCTGCTCTCTGGCTTTCTCTCCTATTCCAAGTTGTTAGTCTAGTCTGTATTGGAACTGGAGATATGTATTCAGTTGCGTACGGAACTTTCGCTGAGCTAGTCGATTTTGAATGCGCCTCCGCTCCTCGGGCTCCGTAACTTCGGTCCAGTCGTCTGTCGAAGGTCTGGACCTAGGCTTGGGCGACTTGTTGGGAATCAATTCGTGTTTCTTGGATGAGCGTGAATTCATCTCGTCTTACTGCTACGCTTATGTTCTAATCTAGGTAATTTCAAGTTGTGCCTCTCAAGTCTTCGAGAACAGGCAGGACTGCTTGTGTCGTAATCAGTGTTCCTTTTCGTGATGCTCGCTTATATTCGGCTAGTAGTTAAGGTTGATATTACTAGGGTCAAGCGGAAATACTTGAATATTAATGAGAGAAGCTTGGTTGGGAAGGAAGATGGGTGCTGGATCCTTTTCGAACTCGCGTGTGCCGGTACCTGTCATATATAACGCCCGGGATATAGATAGGCAGAGAATATAAAAGCAAGGCAAGTGACTACTAGCATAGATAGACTGTATGGAAGGGTTTGGGGGCCGTTCTGGTCGGTTGACGGAATGTAACTTGAAAACCACTTATAAGGCTGATGACAAGGGTACGATATGTATCTCACAGAGCTTTTGTCTACATGGGATGACGATGGAACCTTCATGGTACCTTTGGCGAGGCCCGGGCCAGACTTGCGGGATGACCATCGACCATTGAGGCTTATGGTGTCTGTCTATATCCATCCACTCGAGTGGATGGACTCGAGTGGGCTACTTGGTGTGGCTACTTGGTTGCGTGCAAGCAAACGTGACGATGGCATGTATGATGTAGTATGCAACTATCGGCGAGGTAACAATAGAGCAACCTGGACTCAAGCCACTGCTGCAACCCCGACTATGACGCGCAGGTTGATAGTTTTGGCCAGGCAAGACTTTCCTGCACACACACACGCCAGCATTGCGTCAAGGTAGCAAGGGAGGAAAGACATCGTCAGGTATGAAGCCACTAATAAGCTACTATGGTAAGAAGCTATTCTCAATGGGTGGGTGGCATTGTGCATCGTCCATCGTCCATCGCCATATGGAGCTATTGGATCGCCCGCATCTCGAACTAGGAAACCCTGAAAGCCGACATATCGGGAGCACAGGCCATAGCCGTCCATCCTGGTCATCCTAACTACCCTAAGGTAGTCATCCTAGACTCTAGTCGAGAGTCAGAGACGAGCCGTTGAAGCCCGGGATACGAATGGTCGTCAGGGCAGAGCCACAGTTAGCTAATCTCGACTTTCTAAAAAGAAATACGATTCTCGCTCAGACCAATCATGGGTTGGGGTTTCTTGGCATTTGTGAAGGCATCGCTTTTTATGTATGTATATGAATTTATGGTGCTGATGGTGGTGGGGGAATAAGATATGTAAAAGTATGAAAAAGTATGAAAGGTATGTAATTGCGTCGCTAGGCAGGTGGTTAGATCCGTCATTCCTCAGATTTACCGGTCGAACGGGGTGAATTTCGGCGAACGACTTTGACAAATATTGCTTGCTGGTCTTGTCTGTGGGGGGAGTAAAACGGACGGGGAACCCTGTATTGGGAAGACGACGTCGACGTTCCTTCGAGGTGGCTAAACCAATAAAAAATCGGCGTTAGACGAAGATACATATACATAAGAGGTCTGACGGATCGAAGAACCCTCATCTGTCAAAGGAGTCTGTGATAATCCTGGGATGGGATGGGATAGGATGGGATGGGATAGGGGTCGCCACGATTTACCTTCTCACGGCGACGACCCACACACCCGGTATCCTAGCTAGGTAATTTTCCTATACCGCTTATGTCTTCTGTGCTTCGTGCTATGCGAAGTGTATTGTCTCGTGACGCTCGTTGTAAGTGAAGTTTGAATAAAGAAGGCGGCCGACATAAAACTACCTAAATTACCCAAAGCTTATCTCACTTCTCACTTTCAAGCCATGTTTCGGACTCCACCGACTGGTGACGGAGACTATTTGACACGGTTAGGTTCGGTTCGGTTCGGTGGGGGGGTTTATGAAGAGGTTTGGATTTCCATGTTTCTAAGGACTCTATTCCGTAACCCTCGTGCGGCTGAAATCCTTCGAGCCAAACTGTTGATCTCTTTTCCTCTTTAAAGAGGTCGTGGACCTTGTCCAAAACGTAGATCAACTGCCGTATTCGTGCTTCTACAAGAAGATCGTCTTGGGTCTCACAAAAAGGTACCAGACAGTGCAAGGGTAAGCCACGCCCCAATTGCATACCTGCATACCCGTACGAAGTAGACCCATTCAGGTTCAGGCTCAGACCAAAGTTCCCCATCCCAGCAGTTTAAGGTGAGTGGGGGGGAAATCCTTACGGGACAGGGGCTTCTAGAATGCGTAATTACCTCTGAAAGGAGGGGACGCTTTGCATCTGAATCCGTGAGCTTGACGGGCTCCGTACATTACACGGAGGCCACGAGACTCGATAGGCTGTATACCTACACATGTGTGTGTTTATTTGTGGTCACACTGCATTCTGCGAGATGACTAGATTTTTTTAGGCTCGCTTGTCCTGGACTCCTGGCAACACGAACGCCATGCTTTCTGCCCATTTAGCTTCTAGGATTTTTAATATGACGAACATCATATCCTAGTCACTAGTCGCTCACGACTAAAGCATGCCACCGAAAGCGACACCGAGCAAGGAGAGGAGAGTATGTATACCTAACTACTCCTACACCTGCAATATGATTATTGATCGGGGGTCCGTGTGCTTCGCGGGGACCTGCAGTTCATGTACCTAGGGTATAGCTAAGAATAGACCTTTAATAAAATGTCTCCATTTGCGAAGGGATGGAGCTCTGCACCGTGGAGGAGGTATATCATAGTACCATGCCTGACTTGTGACTTGCGGTGAAGTGCTAAAATTTGCTTTCCGTCAGCAATGTACAGCCCGTAATGTGCAATGTTTGGTCCTTTCCAGAATTCTCGGGCGCTATGGCTATCCATCAAGATCGAATATCAACTTTTCAACCCGTCCTGCAATATAAGGGGGGCCAATGGTTAATCAACACATTACATAAACAAGCCATGTAAGCAATACCAGGCCTTGCTAGAAGACCAATCATTCATCAAATCGATTCACCATATGCATGTGGTCAAGCTCCTTGGCATCTGCCTATGTTCTGCTCTGGCGTCCCGTACTAATGAGTCAGACGGTGAAACACCCAGGATGAATATGCTAGTTGATACTTCTAATACCGAGCTCCTTTCACACGGCCGCTGGGTACATGGCGGGCTTGTCAGCTTTGGGTTATCGCGGTACTGGGAATGGTAACCAGGTTACGAGAAGTAACGGCAGTAGTTCCCTTTGTCTAGCTCATTGGGCATCACACCGCTTTATTGCGACACAAACCCCGACGATAATAACTAAATGGGCCTTTTTGTTGAGTGCCGCTCTTTTATATCTGCTGCATAGCTACTCGTTATTGTAGGGCTGAGTACGATCATGGGGTGAGATTCGAAATATAATTAACCAAAGACAGTATAGAAGATGTTGCTTTATTGCCCGGCATCTTACTTGTAGTACCCGAAATGTCGGTGGCAGATCTGCCACCCAGCCCAATGGTAGTATGCAGCATCCAAGATGCATGTATCATCCCGACGATATGGTTCGCTTCTAGCCGCCGGAATATTAATTCCTTGAGCCTGTTGGAACTTTAAACCTCAGTATGAGATCAGACCGGGTTTTGACTGTTTCAAGTGCTTTCAATCAGCGATCAAGCCACAGAGTAATCGATGTAAACGTATCCGTTTCTTCATAATAGACGTTCTCACAAGAACGAACAGCCTTGTAGCTGGAGCTATTGGCTTGATCAGTGCAAATAAAATGTAAGGTAGTGCGTCTTTAGGCTTCAAGCGACGAAGCACGTCACTCCTACATGACTTGACACTCGAGTCCGTACATCGCTCTCTCTACATCCCTCTTCACCTGATACCAGTCGGCTCTTCTTTCGGCAAACTCGTATACTTCTTCGGCGCGAAATATGCCGCCGAATCGGTCGCCATCAGCTATGATGATCGCCATTTCTTTAGCATGCTTAGCATCGATAAGGTATATCTGGCTTAGTTCTCGTAGGGCTTTGAAGTATGCTAGTAGATCTGGGTTCTTGAGCGTCCGGATATATTCGAAATACATGTTCATATCCGCGATGAGTTTAATTGCACCTTCGGTGCTGATACGCTGTCGTTTAATATGTTTACACACGGCCGTAAATAGACGCAGTCCGACTTCGCCGTTAAACACGTCTAGCATGGTCTTCTCCGTGCTCCCTACTAGCATCCTCGTGTGAGAAGCTACTAGCTCGGTAATGCGCTTTGCGGTTGTGGTTGGGCCTATATCGGGATTCTTAGACACCCCAACCTCTTGCATGGAGGGTGACGGATTAAAGTCTGTAGGTAGCTGCGTTGTAGCGCAGAGATATTCGACTTCATCCATCAACACGTCGATGCCTTTGTTAAGACCTGCCGCAACATTCTCGTCCAACATCTGCTCAAATTTCTTTTTCGCTAGGCCCGCAGGATCGAGGAAATCGTTTCGGTCGGCAATTTTCGGCGCAGCAAGTTGCTGCTCATAAAATACGTCAACCATTTGTGAGATGATATCGCCAACATTGACCAACTCGATAAACATAACGAGCGGCGCCACTCCGGTTTGGCTATGATCGCTTATTTCTCGAGGATTATACCGGGAAAGATGCTCCACGGCTTTTGCAAACCCGTTTTTAACATGTGCCTGACCAAGGATCTTGACTAGGACAACGAACATCGCTTCGCATTGCTCTCGAGCTTCTTCGCCCGCCTGACCACCTAGCGTTACAAACTTCGCTGCTCTTCCGAGGCTTTCTTTCGCAGCATGCACTAAATCAAGAGCGACCTCGATACTGAAAAGACTTCTGATCCCTTCAAGCCGGTTCGCCATGAGCGCAGCTTTCGCCTTGAGTTCATCGGTGGGTGCTTCAGATGGTAGAGGACTCGCGGTCCGTTCTGAGGCATCGCCAACCCCAGGCGTTTGCGGACGGGATGATGCAGGTGTACCAGCCAGTGATGGTCGAAGTGTGGTGCTATTAGTAGCTGATGTTGTAGATGCCTTGGTAGTCCCGAAAGGTAAGACTGTAACTGGCATCATTACTACTTTCTTGAAGGAACTAAGGAAGTCGTTTTTGTCGGCCTGTCGATTGAAATTGCCCATATAAAACGACTCGACGGTAGCCTCTTGCTCCGAGAGCTTCTGCTCCCAGTTTATAACTTCGCGTTCGGCATATTTTGTCAAACTATCCAGCTCCTCTTGCAAGTACAAATCTAGGTGTGGCTCAAACACTCTCAGAGCTATCTCTTTTGCATGATCTTCTAAACTTTTTTCGGAAGAATCTTTTGGTGGAACGAGTAACCGAACAAATTCCATGCACTGCTCGAACAAGCCAGACACCGCCTTTAGGTAGGATGGCATGTATCGATCATGACATTCGTCTAATAAGGGAGTAACATACTCCATGATGATTTCTTCTCGAACTTTATCCACGAAGACCCAGAAAACAGTTGCTGGCTGAGGGAAGATGCGGCCAATCACCTCGCCCTGCTCGTTTACTTTCTTAACAAGCGAATCGAAGAAAGCACGGGAAGGCTCGAGAGTAATGCTATCCTGGGGAGCTTGGTTGATACAATCCATCGGATTACCTATAACTCCGCGGTCGTTGAGAATTGGATGCTTGTGAATGAAGAGGTCCATGGCCGCGTTACCCTCGTTCAGATTATGCAACACATGTGCGTATCTCTTCATCCTGCCATCAACATCCCAGAACTCGTATCCCTGCTCGAACTCTCTTAAGACTGCGCTTTCGAAGAGAGTTGTCATATTAATGAGTTTAGCCTCTCGCTGCATATAACCCTCGGTCCAGTCACTTTTGCTAAAGGTCTGTAAATTAGACAGCATCTGTGCTTGCCTCTCTGGATCTCGAAACACCTTAAACACGATTGGTTCGGTATGGCTCTTCGCTCGTGCTAGATCAAAATAAAAGGGTGCTAGAGCCCCATAAACTTTGCCATACTCTTCCCTCGCGTGACCCCGTATACTCTTAACGTTCTTGAGTATATCAAGTAGTGCATCTGGATCTTCGTAGGGCGACTTAGACTGTGATTGGTTTAAACTCAGCGTCTCGAACCCGTCGAGCCTCGATTCCTGGAGTTGTAAAGCTTTGTCTTCTTGAGCTTTCCGGTGTTCCTCTTCTAAAGCAGCATCGAATATAGTTGTGCTGGTCTGCCTACCCGCTATCGAATTTGGTCCGCCGTTGGCATTTGGTCGCCCCGCAGCGTCCCGTTTTCTCTTCATAGCTTCCTCAAATCTCTTCCTAGCCTCCAACTCGTTCCAGCATCCCATGCTCTTAAGTCTCGCTACCCATCTCGTGTCATCGTATACCATCTCACGCATTCGGGTCGACGTCCTTGCAAATCGAAGAAGGTCTGGTATCGGCAAGTAATCGAGTATAGAGACAATGATTTCTGTCATCTAGGATCAATACCTACACAGCTAGTGGGAAGGATGTGCTTCGTGCTTACCGGCTGGCAGAGCCGTTTTCGTATCTAACATCGATGTCGCTCGCAATGTACTTAAGATACTCGCCCTGGGCGTCGCGCCATATTGCGACGCTCGCTTGAATGTAGACATTGTAGCTAAGGTGTTGTAGTAGATCTACGGGGAATTAGTAAGGTTGCACACAGCTACATGAGGTAACCCTATTGTGAAATTAAGAAATATAAGAGTAGTATTGGAGAAAAGAGCAGTTTGACTGCCATGGAGATTCTGATGAAGTATATGTAATGTATGTAATCCTAAAAAGTGCCCCTTCAACCTGGCGGTCACAACTATTATGTACATGTATAAGATGAACCCACCTTCCTTTAGTTAACACTAACAACTAACCAACCTACTGATAGTTACCGCTACAGCTAACTAGGTTACTAGATTAGACTGGAACTCTAAACCTGATGTACTTAGGTACTAATCACACCGCCCTTTATCGGCAAAGTACTCCCCGCGGCAGAATTCCTCCAAATTCGACAACTTTTTTTTTCTGGGTCCAAAGTTAATTGCAGCTAAGTAGATCTTTTTATGGTTCACACCTCTAATACATAACAGGTTGAGCAGAGTTTCTGAAATTTCATTTAAGAGGCTCACTGTATTATCCCATAATACTATCTCAATCTAGTATTCACTTTACTGAATTTTAATTCTTCAAAATGGAAGCTAGCGATCCGGCTCCCTGGAAGAAGCTTGACCCGGAGAAGCTTCGTCGCGAAGCCGAATCCAAAGGTAAACGACACTGTTACAACTACCCAAGACGTAGATTGCTAACATACTTTAGAGGCCAAGCTTAAGAGACAACAAGAGCAGCGAATCGCAAGATCCGAAGCCCGCAAAGAAAAGCGCCATGCCAAATCCGAAGCTAAGCAAGCGCGAAAGGCAAACGTCGGCCGCGCTGCTAAGTGGAATACTGAACGCAAAGCAGCCGACAAGTTGAAGAAATTGGCCAACCGACCACACAAGCAAGAGAAGCGACGCAAGCGACTACGCCTACGCGCTCAGAAATTGGAGGCGCAAGCTATCAAGCTGATGGCCGAGGCGCAGAAAGCTAAGGCCCGTGCTGATCTTCTAGACGAGCAGCGCGAGGTAAGATATCTAACTAACCGCAGAGTTATCATTTACTGATCGTATGATTAGAAAGAGGATGCCGAGAAGAACAAGGTGTCTCGTGAGGTTGAGAAGATGGCAGCCGACTCCGAGGATGAGAACTATATTCCTCTGGGTGACCGCAAGCCCAAGCGTACTAAAACAGAGGAAGTAGATAGTGAAGACAGCGACGACAGTGAAGACAGCGACGACAGTGACGACAGTGACGACAGTGAAGACAGTGAAGATGATGCGCCCCCCAAGAAGGAAAAGAAGCACAAGAAGAAGGACAAGAAGAAGGCCGAGAAGAAGGACGAGAAGAAGGCCGAGAAGCGTAAGCGCAAGGCTGAAGAAGATGACGAGCGTGACTCTAGCGACTCATCCGATGCTGATGTTGCGGGTGGTGTGGAGCTACCTAAGGAGGAAAAGAAGAAGAAGAAGAGAAAGTTAGAGAAGGCCGCCGAGGAGGCTAGTGCTCAAGAGGAAGTTGAGGCGCGAAAGGAAAAGAAGGACAAGAAGAAGAAGAGAAAGGAGAAGGAACAGGCCGAGGAGTACGTGTCGCCCGCCACAGTTGAAGCTGGAGGGAATACTAACGGCGGCGAGCAGTGGAACGCCCAAGCACTAGGTGGCGATGACAAGAGGAAGGAGAAATTCCTCCGCCTTCTCGGTGCCAAGAAATCCAACGGTACGACAGACGCAGGGAGTCATAACGCACCCTCCACGTCAAAGGCGTATATCGACCGAGTCCAACACGACCTAGAGCGACAGTACGATATGGGGATGAGGATGAAAAATGAAGGCCAGGGACAGAAGAGGGGTCTTGGAGCGTGATCCATCGTAGTTACCTATGTATTCATACGAAATGGCGTTTTGAAAGGTCAAGGTTTATACCATCTGATTCGAGCTGCTTTCTTGATGTCAATTATCATATCAGTTGAGATATTGGCAATGCTAGTTCTATGCATTTGAACACATCTCAGCATGTGTACCTATTAAACAGGACTTCATTACGCGTGATCATTATTCAATCGTAGTGCAGGCTTCGTATTTAGAGCATTGCATAGTTAGGCCGTCTACTATAGATTTTTTAAGAATTATACATAAATCTAGCAATGCGTCTAAAATGGATCTGACCTCCCTTACAACACGATTCTGTTCTGGTAGAGCAAACGCTCAGGTATCATATCGATCTCCTAGACGACTGTACATGTATACACTTTGAAAACATTGTAAGCATTACAAGCTTCTCAACTTCCAACCACGCCTCCATCTTATATCATGACTACGACTACACGGATCATCCCCACAAGAGTACTTTTCTCACCCGGACTCTACTTTGATAATTGCAGTATGTATTTGCACTGTTCAACGATATTGTTATTATTCATCGGAAGAAGATGCGCGAGATGAGCTCGAATATGAGGCCGCCGAAGACGATGAAGCCGAGGATACCTAAGCGTAGATATCGTTAGCTTCCTCGCATAGGACTTGACGCGATCAACGCATGGGAACAGGGGACAAATAGCTTACCGAGCCAGAAGGGAGAAATAGGCGACTTTCGCACGCCCTTGGTCTGCTTCTTAACGTCAGTCTCCGACTTGCCGCGACGGGCGTCCTGGTCCTTGGCGAATTTGGCGTTTCGCCTTCGCTGCTCGAGGGTTTGGGCCTGAGAGTCGCAATTAGCAGTATATTCACCGCCGCGCAAAATGCTAGAGACGTACCATTGTGTATTTGTATATAGACGAGGAGAGAAAGGAGAAGTTAGTTGGTTGGTTGGTTGGCAAGTTGTAAAGGGGCAGAAAGCCGAAATAGTATGTAGGTAGGTAGGTAGGTATGTAGGTAGGTATGTATAGCGCGGTCTCGAAAGTTGGAAGGGGACCGAGGGAACGGTTATGTATCGTCAATTGAAAAGGTATATGAAAGGTATGCTAGTTACAATTAATATAACAAACTCGAAGGCGAGACCAGACGCCCAACCTAACGCGCGAGTTTAAATATTTTATAGTTAAATGACAAAGCAACAGTCTTTCCAGTGGGATCTGAGAACAGATTGTTCGAATCGAACTCAAGAGTTGGAGATGTACCGTATTCACTTTCCCATATGGACATGGTGTCTGCAAGGTTACCTAAGGTAACCTCCCTTTATCGATAGCGGAATAGGTAGCTCGTTCACTCGGTCGACAAAAATTAAGGGACCTACCTACCCGTTTCGATACGAGCGCTGCTACTGCTACTTACCCTAACGGGCTAGAACTAGTATATTTTCCCCGGTGGATCAGCAATAGCAGCCTCGCCAGACAGGGGGTTAAGAATACCTAAGGTTCCGCTCAAGCCACTACTGGTGGGGTAACAGGTACCTATGTATGTAGGTTAGGTACATCTTTGAAGAAGCTTCCATAGAGCATCCGTCCCTTCGAACAGACCTTAACTTAAAGCTTCAGTATCACTAAACTTACGCAACATCATTCTCCTCACTCACGTCGACCATATATAGATCTTATCGATACTAGCGAGCTCGACGCACGATGCTCTCCCGAACAACGAGACACCTCGCGCCCCTCCGCACCTTCACAGCGCGCGCACCCTGCCATCCTACCCCCCTCCAACAACTCCAGCGTCCACGGGCACGCTTCTCCTCGTCCTCGCCCGTAGGACAAGAGGCCCGTTCTCCAAATGTCAGCAGCATCCCTCCCTCCCTCCCTCCCTCCCCATACCAAGGGAGCCTACCATCTATCATCCATCCATACCTAAGAGACGAGAAGCTCACCTCATCCCAGGCGCAATTCTACAAGACCTTCGGGCGGCCCATCGCCAAAGTACTCCTCGTCGCCGTCTTCACGTACCAAGTGGCGTACTACTTCTGGGTGCGCCTAGAGCAGGACGAGACCCGGGCCGAGATGCGAGGCACGCGCGCCTTACCCTTACTCTTACCCTTACCCGTCACCCCGCAGAGCTAACATGAGCAAACCGCAGCCACCATTTCCGATCTCGAGGCCAGGATAGAGCAGCTCGAGGCGCGGAAGAAGTAACGATGTGCTAGGTCTTTAACGTAAGACAGAAATCATCGCGTTAGGTTCGCCGACGAGGATGTGTCCGCGGTAGTAATGGCATTACCGTGGAATTGCAATACCAAAATTATTAGGTCTGTCATTCTTAGGCGGGTATGAGCCGTGACCTATGCTTGTTTGGGAGCCTTCACAGTAGGTAAAAAGAGCATATCCAGCACGTCATGACGCAAATATCTAACACTGTAAAGGTAGCTTGATAATTCGCGTAGTCGCGAACACGACCTGTATATTTGACGGTAGTGTGAAAGTGTCAAGTATCCTTGTTGGAAATGAAATATGAGATGATATCAACCAAAAACGCCCATACAATGCCATTCATGCGATGCCTTTCGCTTGCTCTCCGTGAAACATGACCTTCAATATCGCGAGCCAATCCGAACCTAGGCGCCCAAATCTAAGTCCTAAACTCCGACTCTCATACAAGTATTGTTAAAAGTATGCCAATTATGCCGACCAGACCAGCCCAAGAGGGGGAAAGCATGCCTGCGCCTCCTATGAAATGCGCAGACCCGGGGTAATTACACGACAAACTATCGTCCCTCGCCTTTTGTCCATAGCTAGTTTCGAAGCTAAACTTACTTGACGGCCGAGGACAACTGAATCCCATCGAAGCCGGGCAGCTCTGGACCAGTTCATAACACAAATTTTCACAGGGCAACAACTCCTTGTACGGGCCTGGCTGGACAACTTCGTCAATTTTAGGGTTACGAGACGAATTGAAAGCCTTGGAATGTCCGTGTTTCTTCAATATCTCCTCATCCACCGTCGTTCCATTCGGGAAAGGAGCCGCGATATTACGCATTTGAAGAAAGCGTCGGTCGGGCGTCGAGAAGTCCTCGCAACGAGGAATTGCCACCGAACAGAGCCATCTCCTATACGAAGTCTTGCAATCCTCGCAGCCCCTGGCTAACGAGTATCGGGCAGTTGAAGCAGCCTCGCAAGGAGTCTGCTGTAGAACTTTATCGAAATTGTCCCACATAGACCGTACGTAGTCATCGTAAAAATTTCCAAGAGCCGTAGCGTTAGGAAACGTGTTCAAGTTTCCGGGAACAGCATATTGGGTCTGTTCGCAAAATGTGAGGTTGAAGATAAACGTACACGCGCCATCTACATTCTTGTTAGCGTCTCATCACTCTCAAGAACTCATGCTGTACTTACTAGGTTTGGTCGAAAAAACAGCCGGCTGGAATACGATGCCGCCGCCTATGGTTGAAGATTCTTCCTGGCGCGTTTGGAGACTCTTCCCCGGCGGACGAGCAAGGATAGCTGTGTAGTTAGAGCTAGCGTTAAGACCACTAACGTAGAACTCCTGCCGGGTCAAGTTGTCTTCTCCTCCATTCTTCAACCCTACCGTCATCTCTCCGCTACTTCCATCGGCAAGATTCCTAATCTGAGCATACGAACTTAAACCGCAGTAAGAGTTACGTACCCCTTTGATGTCCACATTGTTGTCGTTATGAGCGAACATGACATACGGTGGCGTTGTGATCACTTGACTCGTCACATTGTTTAGAAACCCGGTTTGTAGTAGAGCCGCCGAGGCGTCGCTGTCAACCCATACAAGATCAGGACTGGTTTGATTATCGTGAAATGAAAAGTAATACTGATCAGTAGAAGCGACGAGCTCGAAATTGTATTCATGTGAAGTGTCAAATTGCTCGGCCGAGACATCTGGGGCAGAAATGCTCAAGTAGACATCCTTGTCTATAGATGTGTTGAACATAACAGCCCCCTCCGTGAATGCGATGGCTTTCTGCGTATTGTCGCTCTGCTGCGGCCCCGGAGAAGTATTATCAGACGATGTAGAAACGTAAAGAGTGAGTTGTGGAGGATCCGGAGCTGTTCGGTCTGATGAACGGCGCCCAGGTTGCAGGCAAGTATTCGCGGATATCCACAATGTTTTAGTTGTTTCTTTCCGACGTGCAAGTTCTGGCTTAACAGTAGTGCCACCATCCTCATTCTGATCTTCGTCCCCATTCACAGCCGGTGCTTGTGATTCGTTCAAACTTCTTCGAAGCTCCAGCGGTTCATTTGAGTCCCGCGCTGCTCTGTTAGTGACCGACGAAGCTTGGAAGACATATGCCATCGTAACGCCAGGAGCGAGATTGGATTTTTTCTTTTCATTGTTGGCCAAGACAGTCGCACTATCTGGTACCCTTCCTATGATGCCTCGGTCGAATAGCGCAAAGTCTGGCTCGTACGCTGGACCTCTCAGGTCTAAGGCCTCCGATATATCCACAACATCGAGCTCTTCGTATGACAATTCGTGCACGTCATGGTCGGCGATTATAGGATCGAACTCGACAGCGAAGGCGAATTGCGGAGAGAGTAGAATGACATAGATAACGAGCAAAAGGCAGGAGGCTATCAGAGATGCTGCCAGCCGCGATTGCAATGGACTAAGTTGCATCCTAGAAGCATAGCCCTTTCGGGCATCTCACAGAATATAGGGTTGTGTCCCAGTAGCAGCAGATAAGTCGGGTTGAAACTTATTGGAATCTGTCAGCTAGAAAGGATTACGCTAGGCGCCGCGGCGTTACGAAAATAGAGGTTGTTTGTTACTATCGGTTATATTTTACGGCAGTAGGATGGTCGCGTAATATTGAAGATTGTTTGCTAGAGAATAAGGACAATTGTATATACAATTGGTGGTATCAGCTTATCGGAAAAGGAGTGGACAATGTGAAGTCGTAACATAAGTCGTAAAGTCATCGAGGAATGGAGTTTCACAAGCAGTGCTGGGTTATTGATAGGTGCCTGCCCTGAAATCCCCTGACAGCTGAATACCCGCAACTGCGGGTCTAAACCATACATGTGCAACCTTGAGACAATCCAAGCCACAACTCCAAACCTCTTAACCACTAACTTTCCCGTAACACATACCGTAGTACCCGCCTGTGCTACGTTGTCTGGTTGTGTAAGAGCCAAATTTATCAGCAAATCTTATCAACGTAACAATAAGCCAATGAGCTCAGCTGTTCTTAAAATCGCATATTAGGTAATCAGCCACCAAATACGTACTTCAGTGACAAGCGGTATCTAATTATCGGGTTTCGCTTTCGCTATCGTTTCCAGCTTCCAACGCTACATACCATACACAAACCTGCATCCCCATACACTTTGAGATCGGCGAACATGCCGTTATTACCTACCTAGGTATTCATTGGGAACAACAGACCCAGTAGTTTGGTTCGGAGATTTAGCTTCGGTGTGACAGCCTTACCTCTCTTATGGGGTCTTATGAGGTTAATAGACTTATAAAAGGCCTGCTTGATCCTCCATCTCTCTCTCTTGAGTCTCTTCTACCCGCAATAGTTTTTTCAAGGACGAATGAAGTTAGCACCGGCCCACCTACACCTAGGTAAATACGACAGTAGCCACAGGCCTATAAGAAGATGAATTGTGGCAAACGGGCTTATCGCGCTGTGCCGCGCCGCATTTGGATCGGTCCGTTCGATCCTAACGGATTCATGCTGATAGACGCTTCCCCATCTCTAGTCGGCATCGTCAGTTGAATAGCCTCAGGCTCGCAATGAATCAATTCAGGCTGGCATCATAACTACGATGAACCAGCGGGGACGCAAGACCAAGCTTAAAGATATTCTTAGTGCTAACGTGGTAGCTCAAGTCATCGCGAGACTCGTAACTCGCTGAGATCAGGCCTTAGCGTTCTCGAAACTACTCCAGTCTTATCGGTATGAACGACAGTAGCACGCAAGAGCACAAGCCACGCGGTCCGCGGCTCTATCATAAAAAGTCTCGTAACGGATGTACGCGGTGTAAGCAGAGACGAGTCAAGGTTAGTTATTGGGACTGCGGCGCATTTCGCCTACTAAGCCATTACCCGCTTCTGGCTTGGGGGTTCTCTTGGCCACAAGTACATCTCGTAGAATGTATTCCTAACTTTCCGTTGTAATTAGTGTGATGAAATTCGACCAAGCTGTGGCTCTTGCTCAAGACATGCGGTTGAGTGCGTGTATTTGACTACGAGCCAGGCGTCTTCAGCAGCCTCTAGGAGATCAACGTCGGCTACCCGGCATGATAGTAGGCTAACCGGCCACTCCCCAGCTTCCGGCAGCAAGTTAGCACCTACTTACGACGACGTTTCACGTCGGTCGCCAGTGAATAGTGCGCCGGGTCTTTTCAGCAATGACATTAAGCCGGTGGTATACTCACCAAATGGCCCAGGATTTTACTCCTCGCCGTCTTCATCTTATGTTACCCCTGCGGATGACGGCTCAGATGCCGATATCGACCTACCCGAGGGACCATGGCGACGATTCTGGGAACTACGCTTACTATACAATTACTATACGAACATGTCGCAACCGTTCTCTATACCACAAAGCCAGGAGATCGCACGCATGTGGCAACACGAAATCCCCGAGCTAGCCACACGCATGGCAGTTCAGCAAAATCGATCCGCCTTGCTTTACGTGATATTTGCTAACTCGGCCTTATACCTCTGGAAGGAAAGTACAGATAAACAGGAGCGAATCGAACTTATGAAATTGCAACAGGTTTACCATACCATGTGCAGCAGAGAACAGCGGCGCGATATCGACGATTTATTGCTGAGGACGTCTCAAAATGCTCTCTTCATCTGCTTCACGAGTATTCGGATGGTGGTACATTCGATAGGCCTGGTTCAAACAATGACCGTAGATCCTTGGGAGCCCCCAGTCCAGTGGCTGTATATGGGCCGCGGTGCGAGCGAGATATTAAATATCACGGCTGAAAAATTGGCCGATCCAGAGGAGGCCCAGAGGATAGCGGCGTTTGAGAAAGGACCACCAGATTTAAGTAATCATAAGGAGTTGATTACTTATGATCATAGTTCGCTCGACTGGCTCCTAGAACATCCCGCCGGACCCGAATCGAATGCGGCGCAAGAGGACCACGAACTAGACGATGAAAATGTGAGATGGGTATACGAAAGCGCTATGTCGTACATATGCGTCATACACAAAGCAATTGCCGATGGTGAACAAGATTTTGCTGTTGTAAGGAGGTTCGGCCGCTTTGCTATCTACGTGCCCGCCGAGTTCACCAAATTCGTAGAGGAAAGAAGACCGAGAGCTATGGTGATATTGGCACATTTTATGGCCCTGTGGATAGGCCTCGAACACATATGGATGATCGGCCGAGCTGGCGAGTTGCAGGTCAGGGGCATATATAAGGCGTTGCCGATAGAATGGAGCAGCAAGCTTGACGGCCTAGTTGCGAGGTTGAAGCCGCCGGAAGTAGGTAGGTCAAGTTAGATATTTACTAAGTAGCAAACCCTGGCTTGTAAATTAAGACATGGGAACATGGCAATATGCTATGTAATATAATCGCTGTTACTGATATTTTATTAATATCAACTTATATGCCCTAGGGTACTGTTCTCAACTAACTCGTCCTCACAAGACCATTCGAAGGTGAACTCCTAGCAATTTATGTGCTTATGATGTGATGTCGCATAGCCTAGTAATAGAAAGTTAATTCAAAAGGGAAAAAAGGAGAGTTTCTAAGTTTCTGGGTTTCTATGCAATACCTCCTCCTAAACTTCGAGCGGGCCGCACCTAACCGGAACGGTTAAATGTGGAGCGGGCTGAAGCCTTACCTACCGGTTGCATGGAGCTCTGCATACCTAAAACTTAAGCTTCAACACCTCTAAGCTAATTCAAGATTACCTAATTCAACGCCTATCTTACCTAGGTATTCTACCATACCATTGCGCCGCTGTTATCCTTCATACCATACAGTATACTCAACCAGTGTCTCTTTTCCCAACACGCGGGACCATGGTTAGTCGTATTAAACACACCGTCCCGTCCCGTCCCGTCCCGTAAGCGCAATCTTCAAGCTAATGACGTAGCCGCCAAAACGCAAAGCCGCAACCACCGCAGCCGCCGCCGCGCCGAAAGAGAAACAGTCCAAACTAGCTAAAGAGCACAACATCTCGGCGCGCGAGGAGCGCGAGATCAAGGAGGCGTTTGCGCTGTTTGCGGAGCCGGCTGAGGGCGAGAAGGAGGGCGTCATACCGATTAAGGACGTACGGCGGGCCATGGTGTAGGTTCCCTTTCCTTTCCTTTCCTTTCCTTTCCTTTCCTCCTATTTTCACTCCTCCCTCTCTCTTCCCGCAACCCCCGTGCTATATATAACCGCCGTACTAACAATACACGCGCACACCCCCAGCGCCCTAGGCCTTCCCCCCAGCAAACCCGAGCTCGCCGAATTCCTCGAGATCCTCGACCCGGACGACGAGGGGTACGCGTCGTACGAGCCGTTCGTAGCGCTCTGCGCGCTGAAGCTGCACGCGCGAGAACCCGGGCCCGCGGCGGAAGAAGTCGACGAGGCGTTTCGGTTGTTTACCGGGGGTGGGGGTGGGGGTGGGGGTACGGATGAGGTGTTGACGCTGTCGCATCTCCGCCGCGTCGCTATGACGCTCAAGCAGGACGTCGATGATCAGTTGCTTAAGGACATGATTCTGGAGGCGAACGGGGGCGCGGGCGTGGGCAAGGGCGTGGGGAGGGCCGAGTTCGAGGAGGTTATGAGACGCGCGGGGGCGTGGAAGTGAGGACGATGGGGGGGGGGCGGGATATGTGAGGGCATGCGTGTTTCGCGGGATAGAAGGTGAGATCATATTAATGACACGGACGGGAGGATGTATAAATGAATGGGTGCGCGCTTACAAGCACGCTTCGTGGGGATCCGAAGGGATACGTGCACTCGTCACTTCTTCGGGCGTAAATTGGGAAATGGGCATACATTTACGAACTTACGAACTTACGAACTTGGCAGCGAGGTAAGCATGTTCTACCCGAAACGTTTCTGTTTCTATTTTTTGCTAATGGCGATAGGTAAGACGGTGATAGAATGTAAGATAGGAGAGAGAAAGCAAAGGGGCCAAAAGTTCGTTAATAAAGTTCAGCATTGGATTTCTAGGAATTTGACGAAAAGGTTCAAGAGCCATAGGTTCCCTCTAGATATGTCATTATAAAAGAGCATTTCTACCATTAAGTTACAAGTTACGCCTTCTGACACCTTGTTCTGGATGACGGGTTGCTATTTATTTTAGCTTATTATACTTCTAATGAGATAAGTGACATATTATAGAACTATTTCGGCATGTGCATACAAACTACCAATGGACCAGACGCATTCTCTCGATGTAATAAAGTCTATTATAATATTTATATAGAGATCACATGTCTGCATTTATACTCAGGGGTCACAACAGGACAACTAGACCCAAAGTCCCATTGCAAGTCTGGCCCATGAAATTCCCGCTCTCGTATATAGCATCCAAATTTTCAAGAGATTCAACAATCGTATCCAGTCATATCCATTGCAAACGCCCAAAAATGCAGCCCCCTCGTACGCACAAAGGGGAAAGCAAGATGACTTATACCACGAAGGCAAGCCGTGCAATATCCACACAATGCGTGCGGAATTCTAAGAAAACTCGCTGGTCCTTTGCCTTATATGCCATGTACTAGGTTAATGGTCACTCGGATAGAGGGGCCGCAGCAGCAGCGCTCTTAGCGGCGGCCGCCTCCAGGGTCTTCTTTTGCGAGTCAAGGACCGCTTTAAGCTCGGGAGGCGGGTTGAAGCCGGGGTGGTCCGAGTGCTTCTTGTAGAAGTAGTTATCGGACTTCGGCGCCAGCTCAGGAGGTAAGTCGTCCAAGACAGCTTGCAGTAGATTGTCGATGGACTTTTGCTTAGACGCGTCGCGGTGCCAGATGGAAATCAGGTGCGAGTTGAAGCGCACGGAGAGGCCGACGCCGCAGATCTGGTCGCCTTCCTCCAAAACCTCCTGTAGCTTTTCGCCGATAGCCATCAGCTGGATGCGGGTCCAGAAGTCAGGGCCGGAACTCTTAGGCACACGGAAGGTCCAACTACCACCCAACACGTTACGGCGGTCCTCCCAGATGGGCTTGAAGCCACTCTTGAACAAGTAGATAGACTCGCGCATCTTGATCTGGTCTACCGGGGTATTGTTATTGTATCGCCAAAAGTCCTGGACCGACTCGATCTGGGTTCCCAGCTGTTCTAGCGATGCCTGATAGTTGGCCTCGTCTTCCTTCTTTTGGTCTTTGGCTTGTCTGGATGAAAACACCAACGTTAGAAAAAGAGGTGTACCAAATAAGCGTGCATCCTATCAGTATCTTACCTGTCAAAATAGACGTTCCAGTAATGCTGGGTTGGCAGAGGGCGCATGGTCTTGAACAAGTTGCGCTTAGCATCGTCTCGCTGCTCGGCGGGCGAGCTGACATTCGGCGAGTTCGCATCGGTGCTCTGGGAGAGGGAGGAAAGCCCTCTAGTAAACAAACTCGGTCGCGTAGCCATGATGACTACAGGTTAACGTTTTGTTAGCTTGTAGACACAAGAGTAGAATGCGAATAAAGCCCCTATCTTTGTTAGAGGAGGGGTTGGAGAAGCTTCAACGGCGGTTGATGATGGTGGGGTTCAACGCTGCCAAGACTTTCTGTTCCTGGCCGCAGCACCGTAGCAGCATGTTGTTGCTAACAACTAGTTGGTTTTATATAGATGCTGCCGTTACACAACTACACCTACATCTGCAGCCTCACAGGGGAAATGGACACTTACAATCGGAAGATGTAATTACTCTAAGCAGACAACTATACACCGTCAAGAAGGAAGAGTAGGTAAAAAGAGTAATAAGAAGAGCGAAAGTAAGTCGGTAACTAAAATATTAAAAGTCCCAAACCCATGGCCAACGTGATAACCAAATGACCTTTTCAGCTATAGGGTACGGAGCAGCCAATACAGTACTTAATATGAATCAAGGGGTTGCTATTGGTTCTGAAACCAACACGGCTGGGTTTCAAGAGCCGCAATTCGTATGATCGCTAGCACGCTGTCCGACCGCACTTACCAATGATAGGTATCAATTACATAACTGCAGTTGCCCAAAAGTACCTGTATCAAGTACATCGCAGCATCCGTAGGAGAATTGAAGAAAGTACGAGTTCCAGATATGATAGGTACATACCTGGTTAGGTACATCTAGGCGTGTTCTTCAGTGGGACTCAGCCTCGCCTTATCTTAAACATCCGTCCCAAGTCAGACCTGTTCCAAACCTGCACTGCCAATAACGCCTCTGCTTTTAATAACCAAGACATTCGTATATGCACTTATTAAAGTAGACATACATTTAAACTGGCACAACGAACGAGCCATCTAGATTTACACGTATACGTCTAGGGAGACAGCTTACACGCCTGCTCAGAGACAGATCTCGTATAGCTGAGTATCACGTAGATTTGGGGTTTCACTACAATGATCCTTTTGCTATTTTCTGAATAATATCAGTAAAACTAAGATCGCTTATAAACCCAATGGCTATGAAATGTCTATTTATGATTAGTATCGGGTTATCATATAATTGGGGGTTAAATATACCAGAAGAGTCTACCCGTCTCGGTTATCCCGTAACCACCCATCTACGTCTACTACGGTTCTCCTCTTAACCTAAATGATTATCCTACATAGTTTCACCATGTCTAGTGTTAAAGTAAACTAAGAGATAGTATTCATATTTCAATAATCTCTTCCTCTCAGTTATGAGTGGTAGCAAGAACCAACCAAAAAATCTTGGTGTATACCCCTATTAGTTTTCTAGTTGAAAATTGCAGGCTTAGTTTTAATAAGCTGTTGTTAACGATGTGAGTTGTGTGATATTAGCGAGCGATCGAGACGGTAAATATTATTGTAGCTTTATTTTTCATGTTGAGGCATAGGGAAATACGTTCATGGCAACTATAAGGAATAAAATTTCCTTCTATTATTTTTATATCAAACTGCCATAAAGAGTGATAATGTAATATATATAAGTTCATTTAGTACTAGAGAAGTATTACTATGCGGCCTGTTAATAGGCCAACAAGACTTTCAAGCTAGAAGCTCTTCTTGCTTCCTAGTCCTTAGTGTATAGGTATGCATCTCATCATGTATAGCATACACATATTAGTCTTCAATATAAAACATTCACGCTCGAAAACCCATAATTATTCAATACGTTCCTAGTGTCCCTCCAGGCCTAGCCTGTGACTCTCATATACACAACTACAATAACGAGGCTGAAACAAGAAAAATCTACTCATCTCAGGGTCACCAGATACCAGTAGACCCAACCCTCAGGGTTCCTAGTACACAATCAAACCTTCAAGACAGCATTATCAACGGCCATCAAGGTATCCAGCATTTGCGGACAGCAACGTTATTACACATATACCCAACATTATCCACTTACCAGAAAGCCTCCTATTTAATTAAGCATTAGCTAACTAACTGCTCGCCTACGACTTAAGAGGGGGCTTAGATACCATAGCTTAGGTACCTAACAACCCAAAGGACGGTCACACACCAAGGGAATCTTCCTATCTTAACAAAAGACTACCCCAGGCTCCCTATAACCCAAATATGAACCTCTAACGACGGCCAACTTCCCAGCAAGCCAACACATACTCCAAATATGTACATAACTACCGACCCCTAGTAGAAAAAAAAAACTCACAGTACACGAAAAGGGGCAGTCTACTGCACACGTAGAAGTACATCTGATATCAAAATAACAATAGTAATAATAGTAATAATAGTAAATCAACCAAGATCCCTATCAAGGATCGACTAAGTTTGACTACAGTATACACGCCGCATTAATGATATTAGATAAAAAGATAGGTACATTTAGATACCGTATGCTCTGAGCACAGTCTGTTTATATATATCATATTCGCCATGGTTTCTGGCCGCCGCGCGCCTGGCTCCAGATTCACTGATCTTATCCAACATTCAGTCTAGTAATGATATCCAGCTCTAATAGCACAGAGTGAACAAACTAGCTCCCCTCAGCTGTCATAGCAATTCACGAGCACAAGCATCACATCACCACACGGCAACCTCATTCATCCGATTTGGTTTGAAATTTTTGAATTGGTTTCATTGATCTTCTTGTAGTTATGATAAAGATACAAATCGTAGAATTCGGGGGATTGGCAAGTAGACCTGCCGTGCAGCAACTATTCGTAGACTCCTATCAGGTTATGTCTGTTCCTCGGATCGGCTTTTCCTCGAGTGACCTTAATAACGCCCCCCATCTCGGCTGAGTACCCTGCCGAATAACTTCCTCCCCAGACCTGCGGAGGACGATGGAAGACTGTCCTCTTCATCTCGCCTCGATAGCCACCGGCTGTTGCCCTTATATAAAAACAATGGAACCAAACGACCTCAAAGGAGATCGAGACGACCCCGACGGCTAGGCCGTCAGCGGTTTAGAATGACACTTTTTTCCGGTGAACCTGTTGGGACCCCATAAACTAATGAAATGAAGTGTACGAGCAATGCAAAACTGCCAAAACGGCTTGCTCGATGGCATGGATAAGTGAACGGCTGTTAAATCTAGGCCCTGCTCTCGCCAACAGCGAACCAAGAGGGCTAGACTTAATCAATGCCACACAGTCACCATGATGCTGGTCAAAACTTATGAGGCGTTCGTCAAAACCTAAATAGGCTTTACGATGAACCGCCACGCCCAATTGACCTCAAATGCGATGAGATTTTGAGAAAAAAGGGGGCTGAATTTCGTAATAATCCGTCCAATAGCAGCCAGTGACAAAGGAGAGCCATAATGCTGAGCAAAATCAGTGGTATCAGAGCGCAGACGCCATGTTGGTGCTATGCTTGCTTTCGCGATGCAATTCAAGTCATGAATCAAATCGATCAAGTAGAACATTTATGCTGAGAAAACGCCATGGGAAATGTAATGACGTGAGATGTGAATATGGAATAGAAAGGCATGATCATTGCGAAGTGGCAACACACCAGTGACGGTGGAATGCCCAAGCACTCTTTTGGCACTCCTTGCTGCAGTACTTCGTTCGACGGCATCGCCGGCACTTAGCAAACTGCCGCGTGTATTCCTCCCATTTACCGCACTGGTAGTATGCACATTGTCGAATGCCACCTCGGGTGTCGTCCTTGCGGCAGAGGTTACGCATCACGACCCCAGCCCAATATTGCATATCGGTACTGTGATACCGTACTGTGAACTTCTCGACCAACGGGAATATGTTAAAGTCGTTTGGAAGGAGGTATTCTTCCTCATACTCTTGCTGTCCCAATGATTCTGCCGTTATGTTATCCCCGTCAAGTAATTGCAACTCCTTTCCTATTTGAAGCCGCGGCACGAGGTGACTCTGTTGGAAATATGTCCTCAGATTGCAGTACTTTGAAACGTATGCCAGAAGTTGAATAGACATTAATACATCTTCCTCTCTAGGCATCGCTGCTAGCATCTGCGGGTTCGGCGGGACTGGCCGATCCAAGAGGTACCGTGGTACACTTGCATGGTTCGGAAGAGAGGGTTGCGGAGTAGGCACAATGGGGCGGTTGGGAGAAAGACCCATCGCCGGCCCGGGGGTCGGCGTGTTATTTGGTAGACTGCCGTCTAGAGGGGTTCGGTGTGTGATGTTGAAGGTTCCCGCGTCTGGGATCTCGGAGACCGTCGGCGTTGTCAAGTCGAGAGCAGCACCAGCTAGAGTACTATCGCCCTCCTCCATAGTAATGTCCTGGAAACCAACCGTAGGCTGGATGTCAGCAGTACCAGACATCTCAGCATCTTGAGACTCGTCTGATTGCACGCTATCGGTTGCATTCAAATCATCCGTATCCGTAGTCGAATTCTGATGACGTATGGAAGGGCGTCGCCTGGATCGGCCGTTTGGCACCAATTCTGAGGTAGGTCTAACCGCCGGCGAGTGGGTTTGAGGCGGAGGTAAAGGAGTGGTAGGCGAAGTAGGCTGCGATGGTAGGCCGGGGTGAAAAACCGGTAGCATTGATGGTAGTCGGTCGATGTCTCGAACAGGACGAATGAAACCATCAACCGCCTCCATAGTCGGGACCGCACTCACCAAGGGCTGAATCACCTGCCGCGACGGTGATATGATGTTCGGCCGACTTTCTTGTCTGTGATGATGGTGATGGTGATGATGGTGGTGATGATGGTGATGATGACGGTGGTTGGGGAAAGCAGAGCGATCTGGAGGAGAGGTGATGGGGTATGATGGGATAGCTGGCGCAACCTCAGTAGTAGCCTGTTCGGCCGCAGCCGACGTGCTCGCAAAAGAAGCGGCTGCGACGTCGATAGACGGCGGTGGAGCTTGCCGACGGAAAGCCCTCTGGTCGAGGTCTAAACGACTAGACCGATTTGCGAAGGATGATTTAAATGGCGGCTCCCGATGGCTATGACTCCGGTGTCGCTGCTGGTGGTCAGCTATCTGCTTCTGCTTGGCCTCTTCTGCCTTTTCGCGGCACTTTTCGATAACCTTAATATAGTTATCGAGTATAGTCGCGATAACGGGAACCATATCAGCCTCGACCACCCGAGTCCTCACATTCTCAGTTCCCCTAACTCCTATGTTGACTACACACTGGAAGGCTAGATTCCACTTCCACATATCCATCATATCTCTGCTCCGTCCCTGTTTCAATATGCAGACCAGCCTCTCGATCCCTCCGTCGACGGTTAGGATATCCCGAATGCGAGCCGAAGAAGTCGTAAGGTAAGCGAGATGATTGAGGGAGTTGATGAGGGGGAGAGTCGAAGTGCAGTCAAGTGCCCGGCGGTCGTATAAGGCAGTGGTGATGCCCACCGACGCCTTATTGACGTTAGGGATACTAAAATTGACTTCTCTCATGTTGGGCGATATAGAATTTCAAGAATGATGATGGTATCGGCAGAATTGAAGAAGGGTGACGCCGTAGGATGGTGCAGAAACGTCAATATGTGGGTATTATGGCTGGAAGCGGCGGCTGCGTCCTTGGAAATGACCCTTCTATATACGAAACGCAGACCACCTCTTCAATGGGTCGAAATGGACGCGTAGAATTTTAATGCGGGAACTTAATGCAAAGTACGGAAAAGTGCCAAGTTCAGTTCTTTCTGTACTTGAGCAGCAGAATTTGGAAACTAATGTCCTTGAAAAATGCGTAATAAGAAAACGAAGTCTCTTCTGCTGGCGCAATTGTCAATGGGGCTGACAGAACAATAGAAATCGAGATGTACTGTTTCAACGATGGGGTAAGGCGTCGGTCGGATACGTTTCTAGGATTTGCGGCAGGTATAGAGGACGAAAATGAGAAGATACGATTAATTGGGAAATGAATTCGAACGTTCGATCGTGACTCGACTGGCGAAGTTGGTCAAATGCCTCAGACCGCTGTATTTCTTAGGCAGTATTGGATCGCTTCGTGACGGACAATGTAAAACAAGTTGGAGGCCCGAATCTCCAGCGCGGCGGACTCTATGGAAAGACGGATGTCTCCATCCAGATCGAAAGATAGGAGTAGAGACGAAACAAAGAGGAAAAGAGAAAAGAATCGCGGCGTTTAGGGAAAGAGGGCAGCGACTCGATTCAGGCGTGGTGAGATGGTTGGTGTATCGGTGGGAAAAAGATGGCTACACTACCTGAACTAGGGGGGAGAATTTTAGAGTTGGTAATAAAGGGAAGTGGTTCCGCTCCGGTGCAAGTTTGTTGCAAGAGAAAAAAAAAAAGAGGCGAGAGGCGACCGGGTCTGCCAAGTTAGGTAGGCTGGTAGGGGCTGCCCACTGCAGCTGCCACAAGACGAACCAGGGTTCAAACGCTGTCAAGTGCTGCCGAAGAGGTCGACTTATTTTTTTTTTTCCTGCTAGGCTGTTTGTACACTACATAGTAGAGCTCACAACTGCAGGCACGCTAATGTCCTTAAATTCTATTACGGTAACTTATCCACTGATCCGGTCTGGGCTGGCCGCTAAGATTAGCATATACCTGACTTGCATACTTACATGATGCCACAACCTGCCACAATCACACTTCTTTAGTAGGTCTGTACCAAATATTGTGCAAAATGGTTTTCCAGCGTCTTGGGTCGAGACTCGAGTAGCAATGCGGCGAACCCGACATGACATAATTCTATAAGACAGAGACTCATACATATGGAGAGTAGTCAAGTAGCCCTACACTAAAATTACGTTCTCTTAATGAATCGATTCACGATCAACAGTCTCCACGTTTCTTTGAATCTAGGGTCCTTTGTTCTTAATTTTGAACTGAACCGCATTATTGTCACAGCGGGCAATAGACGGCGAGCTAGCTACCCTTGTTTTCTAGGTACATAGTCCACTAGAGCGGGAGTGCTAATATTTAACACAGGTACCCGTTAAAGAATCTGATATAACGAACGACGCTCGCTTTAACTCTTATAAAATTCTATTCAATTGATCAAGCCGAAATTTGTATAAGATAAGAATGATATGGTAAAAAAAAAAAGTTCAGATGATTTTATCACGATCTATAATATTCCATAGGATCACGGTGCAATATGAGATATCTTTAATCCACTGTTAAAGACTCAAGGGGTACGACCACTATTGGTGGACACTGGCGATGTCCGACAAATTACCATCAAGACTAAAGATTAGAGAGCTTCCTATACGTGCCAGCTACCAGGTATGTTTCGCATACAGTTGCACGAATGAACCGTAGGTTGTTTTCGAAACTACTATATATTTTTCTAACTGGAGGGAAGTGTACCGCGATAAGCGGCCTTTTCTCAATTATGCTGTCGTGGCGAAGATCTCGAATTTGCAATAGCATCCGTATTTCAACACATTTCAGCACGTGCAAGTCCAAAACCACCCAACACATCACGTTACGGCCTGAGCTCTGTAATATTTTATTTTTTACAGCGGCCGGCTATAAGCGTGTACGGGTATATCCGCATCTCCAACCTTAAATGACAAATAATATTGTAGGTTGGAAAGAATTCGTCTTGTCCCATGAGTAGCAAGATTCATCCGATAGAAATATACCGGTCTATAGCATTCTACGTGAAAATCAAGCTTAAACGTAGTTCAGATGCAGGGACTCTAGTTGACTTGTCACTCGCCGAGCCCGTCCCCGCTCGGAGAATCCTCCATGATTAGGGACCGGAGACAAGACACGGCCGAGAAAGGAGGTTGGCAGTTTCTCTATTGGGTTTGCATCGTAAACACCTTGCTTATATTAGGTAGTAATAAGCCGCTAGTATTCTGGAATGGTCTGTGTGTTTTTGTAATGAAGCCGTGTCCGCGCTGGCGGGTTCTTACCTACGATTTCCGACTAATTACGGCCTACGTATTCCGTATTCACTATATATTAGTGTAGAGCAAACATTCGTTTGCCCTATGCGTGATCATTTCCTGCTGCTATCGCGCTGGCACGCTCAAGCTTTTAAAGCAAGGCCTCTTCTCTTGGCTTCCCCGACCTCACCCACTAAATAAAGGATCTGCAATTTCCTTACTTTCTGCTTATGATATGCACCGTATCATATGATCGTCGACTATACTTATACTTATAGTTCATTCAAAGGGACATGATTTTAAAGAGTGAAGAGTGAAGAGTGAAGAGTGAAATACGAAACTTCAAGCAGGTTTCCCCTTATCCCCTCATGGTCGTACCTACATAAGTAGTAGGGAGGCGAGTTATTCTTATGGGGTAGTACGAACTGGGAAGACGAAGGGAGGAGGCATACATAGTACATAAGTCTAGAGCATCTAGGGTTGCATCTTAACACATACTACTGTATGCGCGTGGCATCGCGTCACAAATTGGGCCTTGGCACGGACTTTATAGTCGTTCAGCCCCAGGTCACTTATAAAAAAGTACAACCAGGGTTTTTTTCCGTTGGGAGATTTGAATAGCAAACGGCGCATGTCTCCTTTTCATCGGCGTCGGCGCCCTTACTACTATGTATGTAGTTTGTCTTGATGGTTTCTTTACAATTCAAGATCGCTTTTGTTGTCTTAGAGGACCGTGTGTCTCCTCATAGAATCCGGTACCTGCATACTGAAAGGCAGTCGTGTGGGTAAGGGGTGTATAAGCAATTAAAGTTGGATATGACGGAGCTTCCGTTATTAATAATACCTACCGGCTCAGCCCGAATCCCGAAAGCTTCCATTTTACTCGCATATCTCGCATCATTATGGATCCATCGAGTCAGTAATAGGTATTTCTAGTATTTTTTAATTAGGTTTCACAAGAGACCAACGCAGTCCAGCCTTTTTGAAAAGTAGTTCTAACATATATATTTTACGTGAGCTTAAAATACATAAAATACACTAATAAGCCAACGATCGTATCCACGTCTTAAGATAGCAGCTTATTGAGATCGGTTATTGCTCACGCGGCTCAAGTTGCCTCACCCATAGAGTAATCATCCTTGTGTAGAAACGCCCGAACCACCAACATGCAAAAATACGTAATATGCCGCAAAGAGTCGATTCAACTGTTTTGAACAGAAGAAATCTCCTAATGGTCCATTTGACGCTCGTCAGTAAACATGGCAGATCCCAGAGCGCCGTGGCGGAGCGCACCTAGGCGATCCTCTCTTCCTGCTTACAGGATACGATTGGTCGTGGCAAAGCATTCTCTACCGCCTCCCTTACGCCTCTTTGCGGCGCCTACAAAGCCAATTGGCTACCCCTAGCTAGCCCTGATGACGGACTCTCGCAGTCTGATCAGCCGCGCCTTAGCTAACGAGTCTACCAGTAAATTTCACCAGTCGTTCAAGACAATGAGAGACATTGAAGTTCCAACATCGTTCCCGCTGACGTCGGTGGCATCTCCAGGCAAGATGTGGACTATGATGGGGATAAGCTAAGCTACCTAGGTAAGGTAAGGTATGTACAGTAAACACTCGATATAACGAATCTACTACATAGCGAATTTAGGATATAACGAATTTGATCCCATGTTTTTAAGAATTTGTATGTATTTTAACGAATTTTTTTATATAACGAAATTCGTTAGTTTTGGTGATTAGTCACCACCAAATTCGTTATATAAAAAGTGAGGTTATACCTTTTTTAGCTTAGCATTTAGCTATTTTAGGAAAAGTTTTGCTTAATTTCGCTTAAGCTTATAATTGTAAGCCCGTGCCTAAGCACTTTACCTTTTTGGGAGGTACATCATCAATGTATCTTTTCTGTTTAATAGCGAATTCAATATATAACGAATTTAAACCCATGTTTTTTGCGATTCGTTATATCGAGTATTTACTGTATCCATCATGGTCCACTACGAAATAAGATCCCCATGCGCGCAGTGCGTTCGGACCTCTTCTTTGCATCGGCGACGGACCCAACGGCCTTACGGATTTTCGGGAATAATACAACTACGCAGGGTTGGCTCAGGCCAAACCAGCAAGAGAAGCCAAGCCCTCGTGAGCGACTTTTCATGCAATGGTTCAGATCTGACGTTACATCCAACGAGCCTCCCCGTCAGTCACCGAAAACCGTACCGTCCACCGAGTTCGTCACCAGAATGCCTGCCATGATTACTAGTTCGCTACCTACCTACGCGAGGTGCTGTGCGATACACCAAATTTGATAGCGAACGCAATACCTCTTTAGCAGTACTGAAACCGTTGACGTGGGATATTGATATCTTATGTATCCGTGGATAGGGCTAAGTGGGATGAAACGCGATTTGTCTCGATAAGATTACCCTTTTTACATGGGAACGCGGAGTAGAGCCCATGTTCTCGGCACCAAATCCCGATTAGTATTTCTACATTTGTGATTTTAGTTGGTGTACAGCATGAGTTACTATATGAGGATCTAGATGATCCATTCGGTACTGGCGGTAAGGCAAGCTGCATTCTACTCTTTATTCGGACTTGAAGGGGAGTTCTCGTTTAGATAACTAACTGCATTTGATAAACTTGACATTCAGCCAACTCAGCAGTTTAATTAATCTATGGAACATCTCAAGTAATTACACCAAGATACCGTAATTTGTGCTCTTTGGACTGAAGAGTGTTGAAAGCCACGGCCTTCAGCGGCTCTACCAACTTCTCGCAAGCCGAGAAAAACTGATCTTCTGATAGTTCGTTTGCGAGGTTATCTTGGAGGTATGCAATCGCCTTTTCAATATCAGAGGAGCCCTGTGCTCGTCCCATCTCCAATGCCCCTCTAACAAAAGCCTCCTCGAATCCCTGCGTATCCAACCCTCTTTGCGAGCTTCGTGCCGGTTTACGGTTGCCTTTGAAACCACAGAGATCAGGCAGATCATCTAACTCCCCAGCCTCACGTATATATTCACCCGTAGATGTATCATGGAGGAAGACTTGGCTGTACAGGTCCTCATTACTAAAAGACCTTATACGCAGCGACTTTCCCGTGGGATTTTCCCTCAAAGAAGACTCCCACTGCTGATCATACGCAGCAGCGAAATCACTGCTTTTATAATCATCGATTAGGCCGAGGTATGAGAGGTAACGTTTACGCTCGGTCTTGCATTTCGACCTCATCAAATCGACCGTCCACAGTTTATTAGGAGACGTCCTGTTCATGGCCTTTAATAGACGCGGCCACGCGAATTTCCACGTCTGTGGATTGTCGATGTCGAAAATATCCTTGTCTGTAAGAGCCGCTAAGTGCTCCATATAGACGACCGTATCCTTCTTACTCCATATAGCTCGTGGTTTGGCGGCCGGCCTGGAGGCTGTACGGCTTTGTTTTGGCCTGTTTGAAGTAGTAGGAGATTGGGAAGACTCGCTAATCTCGAGAAATGCTTCGTGGTCTTGTTGCTGACGTGTAGAACCGCCGATTCCATTGGCAATAGACCGTTGAGAGGCCATTTTGCTAAGTAGTGATGAAATGTGACTCGAGAAGTGATCACATCCAAGCCAACAAGCTCAAAAAAACTGGAATATTGATTCAGACGCGTCTTACAAAACTACGAACGCGGTTACGTAAACTTAAATTGGCCTTAGGGTCATTAGAAGACGCATTAGAAGACAATAGTACAACTAAGCCATACCTATTCCGTAGATAAGTCAAGAGATAGATACTGACGTCCAGCGGTTATGATATAAAATCGTATATGATGGCACGTTAGAACATCTGGTCTCATAAGCTCTGAACATTATATATGTTAACCCTAAGTAAAGGCCGCAACCTCCTTCCTGATAACTTATGAAGTTTGCCTCTTCAACGAAATCGCTCTACCTTAGTTGCAAGAGTAAATAAGAATGTGTTTTCCCTTTTTTAGAACATCGAAGTCCAACACAGAGCTCGCCAAAGTATTAGCTGAATCGCTTCTCAATCTGTATCACATATATGCCGTTTCTAAGTCAATGTCTCGCCCGTCTCCGATATCTTTTCTATCGTCTAGCGTGCCTCATGTCCCAATTCACTACTATCACTTCACATACACCAACATGACTCGATTAACATTAGTATATTATCAGCAAAACACTTAAGCAAAACATGACGCTCAAAGGGTCAATCGCCGCTTATTTTGGCATGTCTAAAGTATTTCATGCCTATCCACGCCACGACGACCCATACCCAAGCCATGATACAAGTCAATATAATCAGCGCCGGGTAGTACCCGACTATAGGCAGCGTTGGGTCATCCTCGAGCTCCGGCGGTGCGTATGGGGTCGTTCCTACATCCCAAGCCCAGCTCCAGACGTTCAGGCAGGAACCCATGCCTATCACAAACACGAACCACGTCACGATCAGCACGACCCATCCCCACCACTCCGTCTCGCTGTAATCGTGGTTTTCGTGCGCCGCGGGAAGCGGGCTGGCTGTTAGGCCTTGGAGCGATAAAGGCGATTTTGCATGTTTGATCGAGCGCCGCCGTTGAAGAGAGGGCGCGCGGTTTTGGAAGTAGGAGTCGGAGCCGGACGATGCTGGGGAGAGTTCCGGACGGAGAGGCGAGGGGACGCGGATAGGTATTGAAAGGATATCCTCTTCGTCTGTGGTAGAAGTATACGATATGGTAGGGCTCGTGAGGTGTGATTCGTTATCGAGAGATTGTAGCGAAGATATCGAGAGGTTATCTCTCGTAGCATAGCCATCCATAGATGGTCGCGGTGTTAGGTCAGAGATCCCTAAGCCGAGACTCTCGTCTGCCGCCATGATTTGAGGCTTGGGAGTGGTACCTGGGTCGGGGATTGACTGCGTGGTTTGTGATGTATCGATAGCAAGAGGCTTGAGCTCCCGCTTTTCTCGCGCCGCGCCGCGACCTAACAGGGCAACTTTCCGAAGCGATCCTTTGCGCCTGCGAGTCTTTTGTTGTTGGAAAGTAGCAGCGAGTGCGCGGGGCGGTTTACTAGAAGGGTCTTGGAAATTCTCGGCATGGCGCGATTCGTTGAGACCGGCTTTGCTATCCGATGTGCGCAAAAAGGGGAACTTGGAGAGGATGCTCCCCCCAGAACCACTCCTTTTGCGTCCTCCTGTTGCTATATCGGGCGATGACGCATTCTGGGTTTGCATGTGAGCTGGAGGTGTGTTCTCCATTGTATATCGTATTCCGGGCTTTGCTGTCCTTCAAAATAAGGAAACGTCGTGCCGATTCCCATCGTGCCTCGTCAAGCGAAGAAATACATCAGAGCTAAGCAAGCGAACGTATATTGGTATTGTACATAAGGATCGAGAGCTCCCGGTCAAGGAGAAGTCAATGCGAAGGGACGTTCCCCCTGCAAAGCATCCAAGTATCCGCTATATCGTGAAGCGCGGCGACGATCAAAGCGACTAGAAGGGTTGCCGTGCTTTAAGTGGTGTGTTTCTAGATGCTGGCGTAAATAGTGTGAACTTTCATTGTTCATAGCGGCTCTTCTGGGGGCCATCGTCCGTTATCCAGCAGCCCCACGGTACGTTTCGTAAGGCTCTTGTACCTACATAATCCGTACAGGTATGCAGCCATAACTCTAAAACGCGCTAGTTAGAAGATGAGTTGGTGCGTGTACCTCCTATAGTAGGTACATGCTATCTTCAGTGCATTTACCAGCACATGGAAGTACAAAATGCTACTAGTACACATATAGCGAAGCAACTAGCCTAAACTTAAGATCAGTTTACATACATCTGGCAGTGGCACTAAGCCGAAAGTCAATTCATGCGACGCAATCGAATCAGAATCCCTCCGCATTCCAATTCGAATTAAGCAACCAGCCAAGGCACCGCACACCTTCTTTCGCTGCATGCACCTCTTGAACCGGGCGACCGCCTGTCAGAAAAAAAAATAGGAGAGAGCCGACCCGAATATGGAAACGAGATGAGGTCGGCATTCGATCGCATCCACGCATACGGGAAACATACTGTTACTACCGTGGGTAATAAAGTAATAAATTCCCCATTTCCCCATTATTTACCTATATTACGGTTGACCAGATAAGGTACTGTGCCAAAATAAAAAAAATAATTGTACATTAAATTAAAATTGGTAAGGAATTATTTGCCACAATTTATAAAATATTAAATATATATTTTTAAGTTTTATTACAGTTTATTATTATAAAAATATTAATTTAACCAATATAATATAAAAAATTGGCCAATTAAATTAAAAGATTTAATTATTAATTTAATTGTTAATTTAATTTTTAATTATTATTTATATTTATAAATTTAAATAATTTTATAATTTTAATAATTATAATATTATAATTGGTATTATTTTATAACTTTAATTAAAACGAAAAATATTATTTAAATTATATATTTATATAATATATTATTATTAAAATATTTAAAATTTTTTAAAAATAGTTATTTTAAAAAGTATTTATTAATTAAATAACTTTATATAATATAGTTTTTTAATTAATTAGCTAACCAACTTTATACATATATATATATATTAAAAATTATTTAAAAAGATTTTGTTTTTAACTTTTTTACTTTAAAATAATTGTATATAACCGTATAGTTTTTAATTAATGTATATAATTAAATAAAGGTAATATGTAAAAATGGATAATTATTATATTATCATTTAAATTAAATTAAATTAAATTAAATTAAATTGAATTAAATATAAAGTTATAATAAAAATATGGTGTAAAGATAAAAATAAAGATAAGGATAAAAATATTATTAAACGGGCGGTATAAAATTTAGCTAATAAAAAAGCGCGTATTTTAAAAAAAGTAAAAGGTTGTTTTGTACTTAAATACCTATTATTTTAAAAATTTATACATATATGTAATACTTTTTTAAAATAATTATTTTTAAAAAACTTTAAATATTTTAACAATAATATATTATATAAATATATAATTTAAATAATATTTTTTGCTTTAATTAAAGTTATAAAATAATATTAATTATAATATTATAATTGCTAAAATTATAAAATTATTTAAATGTATAAGTAAATTTAATATTTAATAAAAAATTAAAATAAATATATTTTTTTAAAATATATTATATATAACGTTATAATATATATATTTAAAAAAAATAATTCTTTTTTTTTATATAAAAATGCAAAATACCGTAATAATTCGAGTTAATTGCGTTAATTTATAATTAATTACCCTTTTAAATTAAATTTATAAATTTTTTTTATTTTAATATAATATTTTGTTTAGTTAATTATATTACGGTTAATTAAATAAAGTATTATGCTAAAATAAAAAAAATAATTACATATTAAATTAAAATTAATAAAAGGTTATTTATCACAATTTATAAAATATTAAATATATATTTTTAAACTTTATTACGGTTTATTATTATAAAAATATTGGTTTAATTAATATAATATAAAAAATTAACCAATTAAATTAAAAGATTTAATTATTAATTTAATTATTAATTTAATTTTTAATTATTATTTACATTTATAAATTTAAATAATTTTACAATTTTAACAATTATAATATTATAATTAATATCATTTTATAATTTTAATTAAAGCGAAAAATATTATTTAAATTATATATTTATATAATATATTATTATTAAAATATTTAAAATCTTTTAAAAATAATTATTTTAAAAAATACTTATTAATTAAATAACCTTATATAATATAACTTTTTAATTGGTTAATTAACCAGTTTTATATATATATATATATATTAAAAATTATTTAAAAAAACTTTATTTTTAACCTTTTTGTTTTGGAATAATTATATGTAATTATATAATTTTTAATTAATGTATACAATTAAATAAAAATAATATATAAAAATAAATAACTATTATATTATCATTTAAATTAAATTAAATTAAATTAAATTAAATTAAATTAAATATAAAGTTATAATAAAAATATAATGTAAAAATAAAAATAAAAATAAAAATAAAAATATTGTTAAACGAACGGTGTAAAATTTAACCAATAAAAAGGCGCGTATTTTAAAAAAAGTAAAAAACTACCTCGTATTTAAATATTTATCATTTTAAAGATTTGTACGTATATGTAATACTTTTTTAAAATAATTATTTTTAAAAGATTTTAAATATTTTAACAACAATATATCGTATAAATATATAACTTAAATAATATTTTTCGTTTTAATTAAAGTTATAAAATAATATTAATTATAATATTATAATTGTTAAAATTATAAAATTATTTAAATATATAAATAAATTTAATATTTAATAAAAAATTAAAATAAATATACTTTTTTAAAACATATTATATATAACGTTATAATGTATATATTTAAAAAAGATAATCTTTTTTTCCCATATAAAAGTGCAAAATACCGTAATAATTCGAGCTAATTGCGCTAACCTATAGCTAACTACCCTTTTAAGCTAAGCTCATAGATTTTTTTCATTTTGGCACAATACCTTATCTGGTCAACCGTATATACATTTCTGAATCGGGATAAGCGCCAATTGCCAAATCGGTCGGGGATGGCTCCCAGCAGCCTTGCACCACCGCCCATATCTATCACTCCCGTTATCAAGACTCCCGACGACGACAACGACGACGGCAACGGCAACGGCAGCGACGACGATAGCCCTCAGGTGGACTTGGATTACGCCTTGTACGAGCGTAGGAGCTTACTTACGCCCGACCGCGATACTTTCTACGATCCCAATCGCTTATCCCCTGTGGCTCCCACTTTCCAGATCAACGACTTCTCCAGTCCTCCCAACATGACGTCCAGCTCGGGCGGTCCCAACGAAAATGCTTCGCCAATAGATATCCCCAGCTCCTCCAATGGCGCCCCGAATCCTTTCAACTTCCAGACCCAGGTCATCTCCACCTCCCCCGTCAAGCCAAACGTTGGCCAGCGCCGTGGCCACAAGTACAAGCACTCGAGTATCAGCGCCCAGCACCAGATCTTCCAAGAGCCGCCGCCACGTCCACCACTTGCTCTGCCGCGCGATCTGCCTATACCCACTGTAAAAGAGGCTTGGAAGTCTATGTCCAAGGACCAGCGCCGCCGGCTGTATTGGTGCATATGTCATGGCGTCATCGCCATATCCGTCTTCCTCTCCGCCCACGGCTCCCTCGCCATGACAGCCCTCTCCCACCTAGTCTTATTCGACGTCGGGTCCGCGCTGATCTGCGTAGCCGTCGAGGTCCTAGGCAACTTCGAGGTGTGGAAACGGAGCAGCATCCGGCACCCCTTCGGGCTAGAGCGCGCCGAGGTGCTCGCCGGCTTCGCCCTGAGCATCTTCCTTATCTTCGGCGGGTTTGACCTAGTCAGCCATAACTTGAAGCACGTCCTTGAGGGCAAAGGCGGCCACTCGTCGCACCACCCCGATCCCCACGAGGGACTGGCCCCTAGAGTCCCACTCGGAGACGTTGATATGGCGAGTCTAGCCGCCATCATCGCAACCCTCGTGAGCGCGTATGGACTAAGAAACCACGCCCGCATTAGCAAGGTCATGCGTGTGAGCTACCTCGCCAGCCTGCCCAGCGTCCTCTCGAACCCCTTCCACTTTCTAACGCTCTCTACGTCCGCCCTTATGGTCGTGCTCCCCCTTCTATTCATTCCCATTGGTGTCCTTCTCGATAGCACTATCTGCGCTCTAGTCGCGATAGCCATGTTCGCACTCGGCCTTCGTCTCGCCATAGCCCAGGGCCTGATGCTGCTGATGAGCTACGGTGGACGCTCCGGATCCGGCCGGAACAAGGACGTCGGCGTCGCGGACGTGGTGCGTGAGATCGAGGCCGAGCCGAGTGTTGAGCGGGTCGAGGAGGCACAGTTCTGGCAGGTGCATTATGGTCTCTGCATGGCGAACCTCAAACTCTCGGTTAGCAGGGGCGCCGACGACGCGGCCATAAGCCGCCTTCGCGCTCGTGTGTCGAGCTTGATTCAGAATCGTCTTGGCGAGGGGTACGGCAAGGGCGGCAGCTTGAGATGGGAGGTCAGTCTGCAGATGGGCACAGCAGGGACGTACTAGCCAGGTGGTAAGTAGTAGGTGTTGCTTTTCACGCGTAATATGGCTTTCTTGAGTTCGGAAGAAGAAAAAAAACCTTAGTAATCGGGGTGTATACAATACATACACATACGCATCATGCATAGAATGCATAATGAGGGCGGTGTTGGCATTGGCATTGGCGTTGTCGTTGTCGTTATCGTTGCTAGACCTAGATAGGTACATAAAAACCAGACTAGAGTAGAGTGTATGAGGCGAGGGGGAAGGGGGGTAAGAGTGGATGGCGCATACGTCTTGATACTTTTCGCTGTATATACCTATATCTTTTTTGGCGGCGAGGCTGTGTACATACATACATGCATATTTTTATAGCCTGTGAGCTTGAACGGGGCGCGGAAAAATGAAAAAAAAAAAAATAGTTACAAGAAACGGAACCGTGTTTACTTGTGTTTTAAGAGTACGGGAGCTTTTGGTGTGTAGTGATGGTGAGAATTGCTGTTGAGAGATATTGCGGTGCGCTATAGTAAAAGGACATTCGAGGATACGGGGTGGATATCCTCCCCGTTGGTCTTGTATAGAGCGAGGCATATAGAGCGTAGAAGGTGCTGAGCTAGATGGAAGTATCTATCAGATATATCGAAAACTACGAGGAACAGGTCAAGTATAAGATTGTATAGAGCTAGCCAGCATATGGGCCTTTTTACATATATCATATCAAATTAGAACGTCACCAGTTATTCCACACGCTGTATACTCCAAGGCCATGCTTACACTATCCCCCCTTCTCCCACGTATCACATTGTTCGACATGTCTACTAAATTACCATACCAAACAGTAGTTACATCGTGAACTACTAAGATGTGACTACATATATATTATACAGTACCCTCTCCATTGCCGTTAGAGGGCGTACAGGGGGGGACGAGGTCGATAAATCCCGTCCTCCAACCTTGATGGTCAAATCACTCGGCAGATAGATTAGGATGAGGGAGCTTGGCTTAGCTTCATGCTGTATCCCATCGTGCTTACTACCTGAGATACTAGATAACGAAAAGAAGACTCGCTATGCTGAGAGTAGCTATAAATATCCGCGCTACAATAAGACAAGAGTGACTCCTCTTAAGTCGTAATGGAGAAAACCAATTTCCAACACAATAAACATCGCTGTGTATGCCCAGCCCAGTTCAAGCATATCCCGTCAACGAGCGTAATAAATTAATTGCCCACCAGTGTTTGTCGCTCCAGCTAGGCCAAATCATGTCCCATCCCGGTGGGAAGCCAGGATATCCCGTCCCTGAGCAGTTATGCGCGATTCCCCCTCGTCCACCTCGTTACGAATCCACTCGAATCTCTGCCAGAAGTCATCCAACCTAGCCTGCAACTCGTGCTCGGCCGCGTCCCGGTATCTCAACGCCACGGGGCCCAGTTCGATGAACCCCTCGTGCTGGCGCCTGAACACGAGGTATTTGACCTTCAGCTTCGCGAACGCCTCCGTGAGCATTCCGAAGGCGGTATAGCTCACAGGCATGATTTCGTTGGGCCAGCGCCGACGGAAGGCTTCGAACCTGGTCTTTAACTGGCCGATCTGCGCTTCGACTATCGCGGGCCACTCGTTTTCCAGGGCTACGATGACGAGCGATTTGGTGCAGACAAAAACCTCTCCCCCCTGGAAACTGTCTTCGGGGGGTGCCCTGAAGTGGAAGTCGTGCTGCTTCGGGCGCTGGACCCAAAAGTCGCGTCGCCCTTCGGGAACAATTGGGATGTTCATGTGGAATTCTCCTTCGGTCGGGATGATGTTCGGGGGTGCGTATGGATCTTCGTCGTCGTGGGTGTAGAATAACTCAGCCCCCGGATGGGCTTGATTCCAGGGAAGGTACCGACGACGCTGCACCTCTGGGGCTGCTAATTCTCGCAGCTGGTTGTAAATTATTTCCCAGTTTTCTATTATATACGGGAATAGGGGTCGGCCGACCTCGGGGACGGAGTGCGAGTCTATAGTCGGCGAATATAAGGGGCAACATGTCCTAAGCTCTTCCGGGAGGATCTTGACGCCGGGACGGAGGAAGTATTTGGATATGACGTCGCCGCACGCATAGAGGAGCGAGGAGCGGCACATGGGGCATCGCATCTGGCCTTCTCGAAACTCGTTTGGATCCTAAACCTGCGTCCACTTATCGAGACATTCAGCGTGGAAGCTGTGGGAGCAGGGGAGCGTTGTAAGCTCTTGCTCGTCAACATTGACCAGACAAATGATACATTTCGACTCCTCAGATGATATTAATGCCTGTCCCGAGGGTTGCTGAGTCCCGCTCGGCCCTGCTTCCGATTCCTCCATTTGATATACTTTATTTCCGCCCGTATTTAGGACGATATATGTTTATAGTATCATCTAGAGCCTAAAGAAGGATGGTTAACGATCGTATGAATATAGATTCCTAAGAGAGTGGCGAGATAAGTAGGATATCAAACTATTGGTGTCGTATGGAGAGGTTCAAGGAGATAGCAGGCGTTGAATTATTGAGGATGAATAATTTAGTACCTAAGTCATATTAAGTTTAGTTGGTAGCACATGACACTCTTGAATACTGGAAGTTGCGGCCGTCCATGCCTAAGAATAAGGAGTAAGATAAAGTTGGACAAACGGCAGGCAGTTACAAATCCACCTGCTAAGGTGCGTTGTTATTTTCTCAGCTCCTGCCCTAACCTTGAGAATTTGAATCAGAGTTGCCCCGTCTTTCCATCTGCATCTTCCTACCTTAGTAGACGTTGACTATCCCTTTTGTTTATCCCACTAAGGGTTTGGCGAGAAGATTATTTAATGTATTGATACATTAGCGTCAGGATATGAGGCCTGAGTACTGTACTTTTATAGTAAGTAAGGACCAGACCGTAGATTTACCGTTTGAGGCTTTTATATTATTTGAATGTTTAAATGTTTTGATATTTTAACCGATATTTGTTTAAATGGTATATTGTTGGTTGGTTATTTGAACGGTTTATATAATTATAAATAGTTTTTTTTAACCAACGGTTTTTTTGCGGTTTTAGTATGGTTTAAAAGGTGTAATATTAATAAGTAATTAAATAAAAAAGTTGCGATTGTTACTTTATATATTTAAGTAATTATAAGCTATATGCGCTTGTATGTAATAGTGTATTTAAATAATAATTCCGTAGCTGTAGCCGTAGCCGTAGCATGTTTAAAAGTAAAGTAATGTTTACTTGAATATTTTATATGACTTAACTGTTGTACGTATTTACCTACTTACCTTTTAATATGTTTGGGTAAGTATGTATATTTTGTAATAATATATTTATATATATTTTTTTTAGTTATTGCATTTTCTTTAACCGTATTAAAACCGAAAAAAAACCGTTGGTTAAAAAAAACCATTTGTAATAAAAAAACCGTTAATCCGAAAAAACGTTTAACTTTAAAAATACCGTTGTAAAGTAATATCGTTAGTAGATTTAACTACCGTTTTTTTTTTGTACTAAGATGCGTAACTATTTAGATAATTATACCGTGAATATACGGTATCAATACGGTCCTAAGGTCTTATATACTGACGCTAATGTATTGCCTACTATCGATATATGCCTTGGATATGTATCGGAAGGCTATCGTAGTCAAGCTGTGTTATTTAGTATAGTACTTACCCAGGTATGAAACTAGCTGATGTGCGCAACGTCTATTAAACCAAACTCGCATCGAAGCATAAGACAAAGACCAACTCATATCAAGGCAAATATAATGAATAGTATATACCATCGACGAAAGAATTGTAGAACAACACCCCAGAAGACATTGTTGTCACACAAGAGCTGGGTAGTTAATATCATTGGGTGAGGCTTCTCTATTAACATTCAACCCAGCTAAGTCTCGAGTGGACATATTCCATCTTTAAACAAACCAACTACAAGAAAGCAAGCACTGCTATTTCTACGAAAGATCTCAAACAAACGCATCTGCTCGCATGATAGTTCACTTACAGGTTACTAAGGCACTACGACAACCGTCGAGTCTGCTTTGACTTGACAATCGCGTGCACGCATTTATTACCAGAGCGGATAATTCCCGGAATTCGCCAATAGTCCGTATGGATGTATAAATGAATGCAACAAGACATGGGACTTACACGAAAAAAAAAGCCACTGGAGCGCTACACGGCATGTAAATCCACGAGCGATTGGGACCTGGGGAAACCGGCGAATTCGACGGCTGCCGCTTTAAATACCACGATCCCATCAATTCTAACCAAAGCCCGTCGTCTCTAATCTGCACACGGATCGGATCAGACCAGATCAGATCGAAAAGCAAACGGCTGCGATAATCTAGTCAAAGACTCGGCCATGGAGGTACGTCGGCCATAAATCGCGTTCTGCAATCGAGCGAGCCTTAATTTCCGTCTGTTCATCCGTCCGCAACATAGTGGTCTCGTCTGCGCGTCTCCGTCCTGGGAGCAGAATCCTCCTGGTGTTTCACACGGTGACCAGGTTGGAGACAAAGCCGCGAAAGTAATATCTCGACCCGTCTCGTTTTCGCGTGCGCTCGCTGATGATGATGCGACGGGGCTTTCTCTGTGATATGCAACAGCAGCAGATAGACGGTACTCGGCACCTGGCACCTGGAGCTGAGCTACGAGTTTGGCAAGTCGTAAGTCATGTATGTGTGTATGTATGTACGTATATACGCCCGCCGGCTTTTTGGGTCACAGCTCGCGGGTTCGAGTGCGCCGGGGGACGAGAGACGGGTTGCATTCGATATTTGTCCTGTAAGCGACGAGGAGAATATTGGTGGCACTTTGGGGGTGCGATGGAAGGGATCGATCCAAGTTGTACTATGTGAGTGATTAAGTATCGGCCAAACGATACCCCGAGGGATTAATTGCATCCATCTATTGTATGATCTGACTTAGACTTACATAGCGAATAAAGTGTGGTTTCGTCATTGGTTTCACTGACGTAGTGTAGTGTACCTACTATTTAGATGGTGGTGGAGATGGAAAAAGAAAAGAAAAGGTGGCGCTGATATTCCCCCTTTGTGGCTCATAAACTAGGTATTATCCACCTGCAGAAGAGTAAACGGGAATTCCCCAAGTACTAGTGACGGCATTAATGTAAGTCGGTAGAGTCCATTTTAGATTGATACCTCTTAATCGAAACCTGAATGTGTCGACTTGCGTCCCGGACCAACGTGACACAGCATCGTCAAATATGAAGAAGCAGAAGCTCGTTTGCGTTGGGGCATGTTATGTCGATACTATCCTCGAGTGAGTTTTACCCCCCCTCCCCCCTGTTGCATAATAATAAGCATGGCCTGACTCAGATCAATCTCACCTACGTCGTAGCGTACCTCAATACCCGGGCGAGGATTCTAAATTACGTGCCACCAACTTACAAGTCCGTCGTGGTGGCAATTGTCCAAATACCCTTGAAGTGCTTCAGCAACTCCTAAGGGAACGGGACGATGGCGGTCGAGACATCAAACCTTACCTGATATCATGCTTGCCCAGTGCCGACGCACCTGCGACCGCAACCATAGTGGACTCCTTTGGGCCGGAAAGCCTTGTCGATTTCACCAGGTGCATATTCCGCGAGGATCAACGGCAACCGGCTAGCAGCTACATCATACGCAGCGAAGCCACCGGGAGCCGCACCCTCGTCAACTACAACGACTTACCTGAGAT